TGTGTTACCTGGCTTCTTGTGGAGTGTCTGTTCTCGTCCTGGCGGTGCGACAGCGTCCTTTCGTCGGCCTGTTTGTCTCGCGTCGACGCTTTTCCCTGACAAAACATCAACACTGTCTGCCACCAACGACTCACAACCGGCCCCGCAGCAGAAACATCGCAGCAACCTCCCCCCCGTCTTGTTCCAGGAGGCTTCACAGCTTGACAATTTCAGTTTGGTTCTGTTGGTTTCTTTCAGCTTTATCCACTGGACACTTGGTCACAGTGGGAGAAAACCAGTTGGACTACAGGGTAATATTACAAAAGCTGCACGAAAGAACAAAAATGCAGCACGTTTCTTCTAAAACGTGGCAGAAAGCTGTCGTAAAAATACGAGAAAATAAAAGAACGAAACTGCAACACGTACAGTTTCTGTGGGAATCTTCTCTGTTTTAAAAGCACATGCAGTGTCGTGGTTTCACACTCACTTCTTAGCCTGGAATCCTTGTCGGTATATCTTCGTGTGTGTGTGTGTGTGCATGTGTGTGTGTGTACCTTGCATTCGTCAGCAGAGAGGTTGTGGTACAGAGGGCACCCCGATATGGAGAAATGTCTCTCATGTCTCCCTGTTAGATGGCCTGAGGGAAAGAGTGAACGGGATGTAAAGAGATGCACACAGGCGAATAAAAGGAGCAGGAGATGTGGTCTAAGGACAGTGTTTGTGGCCTCACCCAGTGAGTTGCAGCCAGGTGTGGGACACTTCATGTTGAAGTTGTAGCTCTCATGGAAACGCCGTCGTTTGGGCCGGTGGGAGAGATCGTGGGCGGCGGCCTCTTTGAGCGACAGCTCTTTCGCCAACCTCTCGTCCTCCTCTTGTGAAACTACAATGTCGTTGCTAGAAGACACGAGGTCGTTGCTCGGGCTGGAGACTTCGATGTCTGACTCTGAGGACGGGGCGTTGCCTGTTGGAGTGCGAGGAGGCGTCTCGTCCCGGTCTGCTCCCTGCTTTATGTCTGAACACAAACATGTTGGTGGTTAAAAGTTAGCATCGTGGGGCGCCCCTATAGCTCACCTAGCTGAGCGGGTGACCCATGAACAGGGGCTATAGTTCCCTAATGTAGTGGTCATGGGTTTGACTCCCCTTTGCTGCAGGTCTCTCCCCATTCTTCTCCCCCCTTTCCTGTCTCTCTACTGCTCTAAAATAAAGGCAAAAAGCCCAAAAATATATTTAAAAAAGAAAGTTAGCATCTACTCCCAATTCATACAAATGCTTTACCACCTTTTGAAAGATAAACTATCTAACTCACTCTCTGCTGCCATAAATCTATCTTCAAGGAAACCTCTGCAGGCTGCATATTCGCCTACATAAAGAAGCCGTCAACACCCTCAAGCAGGACCGCCAGCAGAAAAATCCAATAATAAAGAATGATGTTACTGCAGCGCGTGAGCTCAGAGTCTGGCAGGTTAATAGAAAGGGATATTTCAACTATTTTCCTTTTATATTTTTCCAATCAAGCTGGTGTCTGTACAGACGTTGTAATGTCAGCTGCATGCTGGTGCTCTGTGTCTGGACAGGAGGTGTGCAGGTCGTGTTGATTAAAATAAAGACACTGAAACAGATAAACTGTGTATCGCGACATCAGTCTTAATATTTGTTGACAACATTACTCAATTGTACGCCAATAAACACCGATTTTAAATCAACAATCTTACTACAAATGTATCTGCTTTAACGGATACAGATCAGATATTTATTTAGATTTATTAAAAAACCTCCCACACCGTCTGAAGTTAGGTAGCAGTTTCTGATTTCAGAAACTAATTTATTTCATTCCCGGGACAAAACGAAAGTCTGTGACATCTACTGATACATATTAGTCGTCCTGTTTAATCAGGAACACGCTGTGATCACAGACGGGCCTGCTGACTTTAGCTGAATGGCACTACGACGTAAGCCTGAAACACTCCCCTTCTCTCAACTGACCTGTTCTTTTCTCTGCCCTCCAAGGTTCCCTTTAATATTCAATTGTTTACTCTATTACTACCACTATAACTACTACTATCTTTACTTTTCTCCCAGGCTTTTTCTGTGTCCCTGTAGCCCTCTACTCTACCCTCATTCATGAGATTTTCATCTTTCTACAACTAAAAATAGGATCTTATTCCACTTGTAATACAAAATGCTGAAAGAATCCTCATTGTTTATTCTTATTTCTTTATTCATCTGAACAGGGATCATGCATTCTTACATAGAAAACATCTGATGTGTTGCATATAGAGTGCATAACATTAAGCTAATTTTCACCTCCTATCCCTGGCTGGGCTTTTCAGTAAAAATAGACAAAGGACCAACAACACCACGTTATTTTCTAAAGACGCACAGGAAGCATCAGTCTCACCGTTAGCCTCGGTATCCGAGCCAGACGACCTGCTCTGACGCAACGGGTATTTTTTGGCTGTGGTGTTTGCCACCCCCTGCTGGCTGCGCGTGATCCTGCGTCCGGAGGAGAAGACCGAGGCTGCCACAGCCGCTGCTGCCGCCGCCGACTCGGCTGCTGAATCCAGGCCTTCGTCAGGAGCCGCGGGAGAGCTGCTGCGTAATGAGCTGCAGTTATCTAGAGGAGGGAAGAGAAGAGAAGAGAAGAGAAGAGAAAGGAAGAGAAGAGAAGAGAAGAGAAGGCATATTCATTTATCACATGTTAGGAAAGTACACAGCTTTATATGTGCTCATCCTAAACTACATTCAGCACAAACATTCTGATTAAAGATTATTTGACCTGAATTTTAACGCTTACAACAATAGGATTTGCTCATAACGACAGCTTTTGCTTTTGTTGCAATTGAATGCTTCAATTTCTTACTTAACTTTAAATGCCTTTTTTCATTACTACTTATGTTTACCACAGCTGGACAACAGATTAACGTGGCCCTGAGTGCTGAGCTGAAAGTTAGTCAATAAATCTGTTAGCTGATCGACAAAAAAGACGAAACATCTTCTTCTTTCTAAACTGTGATAGTTTACTGCTGCTCCTTGAATGAAGTGACAGTAAACTGCACATGTTTAGGTTTCAAACTGTTGTTCTGACAAAACATACAATTTGATCCCATCAAGAAAGTAATTAACAAATGAAACAGTAATAAAAAGTCATCTCTACAGTTGCAGCCCTACTGTATGGGTTCTACCAAGACAACTTACAGCAGAAACTTCATAGAAAACCTGAGCAGCTTCTGCTAAAAACAATCCACTACAAGCAAAAGCAATAAGAACAAGACAGAGTTACTTGTTGCGAACGGCCTCTGCGGTTATGAAGAGACTTATCCCGTCACCGAAAAGAAGAAAGAACCTCTGAATCCACTTCTTTTTTTGGAGATAAATAAGCCCCGGTGATGTGTCTAAGCCTGTCTGAGGACCAGGACGGCGCAGCCAACTTCTCTTAGCAACAAAAAGCAGACGAAACAGTGTCAGCCTTTCTTTCTGTGTTGTAAATCCCCTCTGGCAGCCACAGCAGAAAGAGGTCACACAGGAGGTGGGACTGGAGTTTATGTGTGTGTGTGTGTGTGGTGGGGGAGGTCAGGCTGTCTGAACCCATTCATGCTTTATGGCTGCCCATATACAATAGCTACTACAGAAATGGTGAAGTGTGGAGGGTCTCTGTGAATGAAAGCATCCTTCTTCGTTCACATGATCCATATAAATGAAGTTATGCAGCGTGTAGACATGTTTGGTTTATTAATGAATTTAATTATGATGAGATGAAACCTCTCCGGAAAATGGACAGAAACTTTTTTTAAAGTTCAAGACAAATTAGTGAAGTCAAACAGGAGTGGGACGGTTTTCTAAACATCTGAAACATATTGGTGTAAAAGCAAAATAAAAAGGGGTAATTCAGAGTTTTTCTAAACTTACAATGGGCCTTTGGCAGGTGACTACACATGACAGTAAATGTGATCAGTCCATGTTCACTTACTGGACAGAAAATAAGGCATTTATAGGTTAGTTTCGGACTAATTAATAAACTGTTTAAATGTTTATTAATTTAAAACAATATTAAACATTTAACTAGTTTTATGCTCAAGCTCTTGTCACTTTGCCACTGGTGATTTTCCTTCGGTGCAGCTGTTCAAAACCTCTTCAGGGACACCGACAAGTCCTGTGCATGTCACTTTGATGTACTGAAGCAAACTAAACTTTAACTATCCAGATTCAGTGTTTACACTCACATGTCATATTAAGCCAGTAAACTTGAGGCAAACACTGACTAAGAGATTGATGGGAGCTGAGGAGATAAGCAATTACATTTGTTTGTCTACTTTGACATGTATGCTTAAAAACAGAAACAAAATAATAACCATAAAATATAGATAAGAGAACCTCTAGATTCTCAACTTCAGAAGACGGGGCACTGATTATGATATATATACGTCTGCCATAATGCCATAAAAAACACACAAATGCTTTTTCCATAGCTTCAAGTAAGACCCAGGTTTTTACTTCAGCATTACAAATGCATCGGCTGAACAATCTCTAGAAAAACAACAACTGTGTTCTCTCTTTACATCCATTATCTATACACAGCTTAATCCTCACTAGGGTCGCTGGGGGCTGGAGTCTATCCCAGCTGACTTAGGGGAAACCTGGACAGGTAACCAGTCTATCCCAGCTTACTTAGAGACAGACAACCAAGCACACTCACATTCACACCTACGGACAATTTAGAATCACCAATTAACCTCAACATGTTTTTTGGACTGTGTGGGAGGAAGCCGGAGAACCCGGAGAGAACCCACGCTGCACGGGGAGAACATGGAGACTCCACGCAGAAAGATCCCGGGTGTCCTCGCGAACCAGCGACCGTCAAGCTGTGAGGCTACCGGTGCTAACCACCGAGCCACCTTGCAGCTCTCTCTTTACAGCTCTTCCACATCAACAACAAAACATAACACTATTCTCTTATCATCATGCCAACATGGTCTTTTCTCTCAGTGACTGCAAGTGTTAGGTATATTAACCCATGTCATACCTGTACATATCCACATGTAAATCCATCACCACATGTGTTTACATATCTACATATATACTTATCAAGTCATATCTGTACAAAGCCACATGAAAACTCGTCATGCCTTGTACATCGTATTTACTATACCTATTTGATGATTTAATGCTTGTCCTGCTTCTTCCACACTTCCTCTGTATCCAGCTGCTCTAACATGTAACCTTGTAGGTATAAATAAAGTTTATCTTAGCTTAAAAAGCAAACATTAGCATGTAGTCCGGCTAATGAGGCTAAGCTACACAATTCCGTCCTTTAAGTGCTACAAACATGTTTCATATGCTGTTGTTTTTTTAATTTCTAAACTCCAACTTTCTCCCACTCGTATTTACTTGTGATATGTGTCATTTATGTGCGCATTTGTCGAATAATTCTCTAAAAATGTTCACATACCTTGTGAGCTCTGGCTGAGGCGCAGGGACGCGCGAGTCAGGCGCGTGCTGCTGCGCCGGTGCGCGCTCTCGGAAGCTTCGGCGTGCTCGAGGTCGGCGGAAAAATCCGAGTCCTCCGTCCCGTCCGAGCTGCTGCCTGCGGTCCTCTGCGAAGGAAGCGACAGACATCAGCAACCTGCGTTACTTTACCAGAAGTCTGGACAAAACCGCGTCAGACCAGTTGGAGAAATTCCTGTGTGACAGTGTGTGTGTTTTTTTGTTTGTTTGTTTGTGTTTACCAGCGGATAATTCAACAAAGATCCCATGCTGAGGGGGAGAAGTATCACCCTTTCCACATCCCCTCCGGCTCTGTGCTCCCTCTCAGCGCCACAAACTGTCAATAAATGCTAAAAGTACGCCTGATCAGTAGCCTACCGCCACAGACACACCCGGGCTGCACCTCTATTGTACCAAAACACAATTTGCCAAAGCGCCTGAGCTGCACCTTCCGCCTGGATGTCCAAATTCTAGTCTGCTATGTGCACAATTTGTTAACGAGACCATTGCCACGAACGCCTCAGTAAACTAGTTAAACTAACGATATGTCCTATAAATTTGCTTTTGCAGCATAGTTTGTCGAGATTGCACGCTGCCTTCCACGCAGAATGAATGAGGTGATGTTGATAGAAGAGGGCTCACCCTACACCGGAGACCATCCGGCTGGGTGGGGGTGGGGTAAAAGGGGGTCCTCAAGCACTACCCAGCATTTGCATTGCACTGATAACATACTTGGGGCCCTACCATCCTTTCAGATAATACCCCACTATAATTACATTCGGATTCAGAGCGCTACAATATGCATGCTTCCCTGTGCTTCACCGATTTCCTTTATATTTATTTATTTTTCTAATTTCTCCAAGGGGCGTTGTTCCAAAATTCAGTCACAATGTTTTATTTGTTTCCCCTTCTGTTTTTAAGGACTAATTTTATATTTGAAAAAAGTGGCACAAGGTTTAGAGAGCGGGGGATGTTTACATATAATAATGTCTGACATAATGATAAATAAAAGACACAAATGAACGGTGCAAAGAAGACATAAAGCTGTTCACAGAGAGTATTAAAACTATAGAAATAATAACATTTTTTAAAGACAAAATAACCTACGCCAGTATATATAATGTTTTTCTGTGTAAAACAAATTATAACATCGCGACTAAGTACTAATCTTTTAATACAAATATAATTAAAACAATTAGATATTTAAAGCACTAATAAGCGAAAACTAGAAATAATTAGAGCGACAAGAAGTAAACAGGATAAATATAATGATCATAATATCACTCTACCGTCTGGGCTACTGGCGCACATTAAGGAAAGCATTTTTGACAACTTCACAACAAGAGGCTGGGCACTCAATTTGCATACGACCAATTAAATTAAAGAGGAGGCGGGGCTTGTGAAAGCCCAACCAATGAGCGCAGCACTTGTCCCGACCCCGTCCAATCACAGTGTTGTTTTGGTGCGGACGCTCGTTCCATCCTCGCACCCAAAGAACAGCCTGTTCCTTTCTCACCAGTTAGCTAACGCTGCCGTTACCGACGTAAAACCGCTGCCAGGGTTTCCACTCTGCCAGTCTGCTTGTGAAAGTCCAACCAAAATAAGCTAAAAGCTGCATTTTCAGAGCTCTTCTCTGCGTACCACGAAGAGGCGACACTTAATAAACAACAACACATTCTTGCAACTCAGCAATAAACATTAGCTAGCTTAGCCTTTTTAGCAACAACACAACACGCTGAGCTCAGTTGCATGATTCCACCATCATTTATCCTAACCACGCGTTTACAGCTTATAAACAGCATCTCGTAGAAACGCGTTTCAGCCCACATCCCATCAGTTTCATCCACAGAGTTTTTAGCGCTTCGGGGGCTAACATTAGCTATGACGTGATGTTGTGTGTACGCTCTGCAGTCTGCAGCTCTAACGGCTGAGTGTGCAGCAGACGGCCGCCTTACCTTTCTCCGGGGCATTTTTAAAAGGTGTGAAGCGTCGCCTCGGCCTGGTTATTTTTTCCGTACTTTGGGAACAATTTATCTCACGGTGGATATAAATAGTTACTGCAACAACCGCCTGCAGTTGACATGAGCCAACTCAGCTGAAAAAAGCGCATAAATTTCTCCGCACTTCCTAGTGAGCACGGCGCAGGCTCGTACTCACCGGGATATGTCTCCGTGTGGAAATATACAGCTCAGATATTATTTCAATACGCTTGTTTGAGGGGATGGTAAATTATCAAAACTAAAAAAATAAAAAAAATAAACAGCCATTCCAGAAAAAAATCAAATAAAACACAATCCAATTAGCTGTTCAAAGCAATAGACATTACCAGAAATCAAAAAGATGTTGCAGAGCTGCACCACAAGCTAAAACGCAATGAGTGATTACACTAAATCTAAAAAAATATTTTTCAAAAATGCTGTCTAAAGCTTACAAAGCTGTATGCTGTTTAATAAAGGAACCATCTTTGCCTCTGTAATAGAGGGGGGACCCTTCAAAACCGAACACAACACCGGAAGTCAGTAGGAGGGAAACCTCTCGCTCCCACTGCGCATGTCTGAAGCCTCAAGTTTTGTCAGTGGGAGGGAAGCTAGCACGCTGCTCTTTGAAGTGGACTGACAGCTCAGCTCCCTTCCTGCCACTCACTTCTCTTCAAATTCTCATTTAACTCTATTCGGCGTAAATACTTTCACTCTGAACACCGTCCAGACGCGAACAAACGGCGACTTTTGCCTCCTGACTTCTGCTATGGCCGGCAGCGCCACCAAGACAGTGTACGAGATTTTCCAAAGCATGGAGTACGGACCAGCAACACCTTCCAGCACTGCTACTGCACAGGTAGCGCTCTGAGTTACTGTGGAGAAATAACTTCTGCTGCTTACTTATGAATGTTAGCATGCTGCACTGCTGGGAAGTGTAAAAATATTCCTGCTGCACTCATGTGAAAATCATTTACTGTTAGCTAACTGTAACTCACAAGGCAGACATGTGACTTGACCGTTCAGAATTAAGTTATGAAAGGTCAGGGGGGCCTGCTGCATGTCTAGACATCTTCATACTGAAGGGGAGCTTCATTTGCTGTCATTTACGTCTAAAGTCTTTCTATTGTATCAGGAGACTTAATAGAATTATGAGGGGGGAAAGCTGTGTAATGTATTATAACATGGCAGCAATACAATTCTAGGTTTACTTTAGCCATGTGCAGTAATTCAGTCACCGTACCTTCTTTGTAAACCTCTAAAAGGGAATGCCACGTACATGGAAGTACGATAAATTAACCACTGTAATATTAAATATAGATCTGTATCTGTTTATAGTGGAAGAATGCTGGATTTGAACTAGTTTGTTAAAGGTTTTTCTCAGTGGAGGTGGAATAAATCTAATAATTTAAACTAGTTTTCTAGAAATGTGTTGCTTGCGTCTCCAAACGCTGCTGTCTCTGATATTCAGGCTCATGTGGGGTGGCTTTTTTAAGAGGCACGCCAACATTTTCACACATAAAAAGCTTCGTCTTGAGGAGAGCTGCAAAAGAAATCTAAGTTTGGCCTTTAAAACAGAAGGGCTGTGCTAAAAACTGGGCATGTACCTGTTGTGCACAATGAAAGATGTTTTTGAGGTGCAATGTGGAAGAAGTTTTTCCTTTCCACTTTAAGTAATCGACTAGTTTAATTGAATTTACATAAAATCATTAATATTACTGCTTGCTACCAAAAGAATTGGTATCGGAGAAGCTTTAGGTGGTTCAGAGAGAATTGGAGGTCTGCACTTTGGTCTTCTGTCTGTAAATAGTTGACACACTCCGCTTGGCCTCCCCAAGCAGCTTTTATCAGTCACTGTCCTGCAGAGGTGGTGTCATCCTGGCCAATAAAATGTGAGCACCGGGTTGGGCATCGCTCAGCGTCACACAGGCGTCATTTAGAGGTAAAAGCTGTGACATCGTTTCTTGATCTTGATGTATAGAAATCTTCCTTGATGTTGCTCCTCCACCTGTTACTCATCTTGTTGTCTGCTGTTGAAATCAGAGCTTTTCACCTCTAGCAGCCTCATGTGAATTTACTTTCGACACACCACCTTTTTAATATTATTTTTAAGCTGTGATAAACAAAGATACACAAACAAAGTTGTCAGAATCTCGTCAGAGGTGTTCAGCATCAGCAAATCAGCTGTATTCAGGAGGTTTGTTGTGTCGTATGCACATAATTGAAGGAGTAGCGATTAATTGATTAGGTGATTGGGAAAACAACTGAGCCACTCAGTCAAGCCTTTATCTTTAATAAAAATGCTGTATTCTTTGTTTCTCCCTTTGGAGGATTTGCTGCTCTTCTTTTGTTTTTTGTGGTAATAAACTGAATGTCTGAGTATTTTTGGACTGTTGGTCAAATCAAGCCAAGGAAATTGTGTTGGATTTGTTTCTTAATGTTATGATTCAGTATTTAATAGATCAAAACATGAACACTATGGTTTTAGAGGAATTTTTGGCACCACCCAGAGAGGTTTTAGTCGGTGCCAAAGGAAACTCATCAGCAGCAAAAATGGTTTTAATTCAGAAAAAAAATCATTTTTCTAACCAAGATCTTGTTAATTTTGGTGTCATTTACTCAAGCATACAACATTTTTGTTTATTAAATGATCAGAAATAACAGGAATGTGCTGTCTAATATGATAACGTAACACAAACCCGTCATAGTTGCTGTTGTGCATCGTAATAAAACCCCTTCAGATAATCATTTGTTATTCATGGAAGCATTTTGTGCTTTTTAACTGTCCAATTTGTGTGGACACACATATCTCAGAGCACTTGTGAAGTGCATCCTCATTAGCCCTGCAACTAACAATATTTTCTATATTGAATCATGCATTGCTTATTTTTTGGCTTTTAAATGACAGTATACAAAACTGTCCATCAAAATTTCCACATGTCTTGTTATGTCTGACCCTGCTGCAAAACCCCCAAACTGTTCAGTTAATTATAATGTAGGACTTGGAACAGCAGCAAGTTTTCATCTTTAAGACGCTGAAGTTGTCAACAAGTGTGTTTATGATTGTACACAGTTTCTCTTAGAATGCGTTCTCTGCAGCGGGGCCTCGTCCCGTTTTGGTTACCTTGTAGGCTCTTTGTTCCAGCGCTGACCTTTTGTTCTCCATCAGGCCTGGCTCGATCATCATTCCCGCTCTCTGGGTCTCTTCATCAAAGGCAAATTTGAGCGTCCAGCAAACAGACAGAGCCACACTCTGTCTGATTCTAAAGGTGAGCAGCCTGAATTTACAGCACGCAGATTGTTGAAGCAGCTTACACCACTCTGCATATTCATTAGGTTAACATCTACATGTTTTAAGTTATTTTGATAGTTGGGTAGCTTCCATCTGTGTGGTTGCAGCTTTGGAAATTCAGTTCTGGTTTTAATAAGATGAAGAAAATAAGAATAAGATGAAACTAACCGCAAGTGTGTTGTTTTATGTTTTTATTTATTCTGTCCTCCAGGCAATGCTTTGTGCACCATAACATGCGCTGCAGAGGGCGATATTACCGGGTGTGCCTCCTTGGCTGTTACTGGCCACAGAGTCTGGAGCAGCCTGACCTGCCTCCAGAGGGCCAAAGTCCTGCTCAGGTCCAGCTCATTTCACCAACTCTCCACTCTTTCTGTTACAACCTTTAACTCAACATGAAGGTTAATGTGGCTTTTCTTCCTCCGTTAACAGGATGGTGAGCGTTCTCGGGCAGCACGGCCAGTGTGTGTCGGAGCTGTGTGAGATGTGCGAGGCCTCCTGCTCGTCCTCCGCTCTGGTCAGACTGCTGCAGTTCTACAGCGGCTGGGCTCAGCTCAGAGACACACTCATGGCCGACTGGATGCCTCTGGGTGAGGGAACGCCAGTACAACAAACCATTCATGTCCATTTTAATTGGAGGTTTTTTACAATCTTGTTTATTTTTCCTCTTCTCTAGATGTGGTGGAAGTTGTCGCCTCTGATGACTGCTCACTCTACTCCCTTATGCTCAAAGTCTTACCAGCATTGGCCATGGGTAAAACTCACACAGCCATGTTTGTACTTCTATCTTTGACATTCTCTAACTCTTTAGGCTTTGTTTACTCTCCCTTGTGGATTCGCTCATTGAAAGCTGCAGACACTTGAGACAAGTAGGTCTGGTGATTATTCTGCTTTTCCAGACCTCTGGAGTCTGCTTGGAGGACTCCTTTGCACACATTCACAGTAGATTGTATCTACATATAACAGGGGTCGTAACTAACTGATCTATTCATCCATCCATTGTCTGTACACTTTAATCCTCACTAGGGTCGTGGGGGGGCTGATTGCTTCTTTTTGTAGTCTGTAAAATTTAAGAAAAAACCCCCAAAGAAAACAGATTTCCAGTTTTGATTGGATGCAACCATTTAATACTTTGCATTTTTGCTTGGATGTCATTAATCCAAACAGTCGCTGATTACATTTTTGTCCTTCAGCTTGATCACTGCACCTCCAATAAAACCCCAAATTTAGATTTTTGTGACCCAAACCGGTGACTATAACTGACTCCTGCCTCCTTCTAGGTAACTCTGTGATCGTCGTCCCTGGTCGCAGCACCGCCGCTCCAGTGCTGCTCTTGGCTCAGCTCTTCACAACAGCTGGACTCCCTGCAGGGGCTTTGAATGTGTTAACAGGAGCTGATATCAGTCTGGCCGTCAAAGTGGCTCAAAACCTCGTCATCAGCTGCGTCACTTACAGCGGCAACAAGCAGGTGTGTGTGTGAGGGAGCTGGTGTAGCTGTGCATGTGTTATAAAGCCTACAGACAGAGCTGACTTTACATCATCTCTCTCAGGATGGCGTAACTCTGTGTAAGGCCACTGCAGGGTTGGGGGTCCCCGTGTCCGTCTCCCCGTGCATCGGCGCCACGTGTCCCTTCATCGTCTTCGAGTCGGCGGACATCGACAGTGCTGTGGATGAAGCGATAGAGGCGGCCTTCAAGAAGAAGAAAGAGGTGATGCATGTGGAGAAATAATCCAGTAAAGGAAGGACAAGGCGGCTCTCGTTAACACTCCTCTCTGCCCACAGGTCTACTGGGTGTTGTGCGTGCAGGAGAGCGTGGTGGACAGCGTGGTGGCTCGTCTCAGGCTGCGTATGGCCGGGATGAAGTGTGTCCCCCTGCTCAGCGATGCCCACAGGGCTCTGGTGGACGCTGCAGTGCAAGAAGCTCAGCAGCAGGGAGCCACGGTGAGTACGAAACCCTTCAGGAAGTGGTGCTGAGTTCAAATAGAGCTGCATCCGTTAACTGTTTAGGTGTTAATTATTGAATGAATCACCAACTATTTTGAAATTAGTTTGTCTCCTGGGTCAGTAAATAACATTATTTTTCCCCCTTAGTTGATCCAGTCCAGCACCGCCCCTCCCCCTGGAGCCCAGTACCCTCCCACGGTGCTTTGCAACGCCGCCTCCTCCTCGCCATGTGTGGTCGCCCCCCCTCCTGGACCGCTGCTGCCTCTCATGACCTTCAGAAGCAACACAGAGGCAGTGACTCTGGGTGAGGAAGCATTTCATCATCATCACGTCACAACAGCTGGGATATAATGGTTTCTACGCTGCATTTTCCAGTGTTTATTGAAGGTTTCTCTGTTGCATGATACACATTCTGGGTTGTGTGTTAATAGTGAATATTCACTAGAGGCACTCTGATGGTCTCTGTTCTCTGTACAGGGAACCACAGTCCTCATGGTCAGGCTGCATCTATCTGGACTGAAGACCTGACGCTGGCTCTGGAGACGGCCAACAGGTTCACACATTTTCCTTCTTTACATCCTCTTTTTTTCTCTTCTGCTGGTTTTACAGTTCAGTCTCTCTACAGTCCCTCTGTTCACTTGATTTGCATCCTCTCTCAGATGACTTTCCTTCCTTGTGTGTGCCTTTGTTTTAGTAAATCTCAGACAAAAGAAATAATTGTATTAATTTAAAAGCAGCCTAAAGACGTATGAATATCCCTTTAGTGTATTTTTTTTCTATATTGTCATCTCCTCTGTGATACCTTTATTTCTCACTTTGTTCTTTTTGTTTTTTTTTCTCTCCTCCCAGTCTGTCGGTCGGCTCGGTGTGGGTGAATTCCCACTCTGTGTCTGATCCCTGCCTGCCTTCATCTGGTCACAAAGACAGCGGCACCTGCACCGATGGAGGACAGGAGGTGGGTTTCTCTGCTGTCTCACACAGTCAACATTTCAACAGGTGGCACCTACAGAAGCTCACAGGAATTTAGCATGTTGCTCACTTCCATTGTGCTCCTAAGAAAAGACATTGTGTGAAGATGTTCTTAGTAGGTTTACTTTCGGTGTTTTTCGTTAGCCTTGCTAGACGCACAGTTTTAGAATCAGAATCAGAAGAATCAGAAGCTCTGGTACACAACAATAACAAGACAGGAATAAATATAGAAATCTAGATGTAAGAAATTCGAAGTTCTATGTGAATGAAACAGTACTGTGAAAAGAGGCGTAAACTTGCCTAAACCAAGTAATAAATCAGGAAACAGTTTAAATTACAATATTGCACATGAAGCTGAGGAAATGCACGTGTAACGGTGATGCACAGAAGTAGTGCAACACGAGTCTTTAGTAGTTTTTCATGTGGGATGTGGCCTGATGGAAGAAGCTGCTCCGGTGCCGGGGTGTTCTACTGAAGACATTCAGAAAAAAGTCTGGAAAATAGGAAGAACTGGGAGTTTATCCAAACTTCAAGGCGTTCACTCTTTATTCCAAACTTGTTTCCCATGTCGCTGTAGTATCATGTAAACTGTCTAAATTAAATATCTGCTTTGTTGTGTTACGACTTGTTAACAAAGGGCACCAATAAAGTCTGCTATGTGTTGATCCTTTATGAAATAGCTGAATCCACTTCATAAATGTTGATTTTGGATTTTGCTTAACTGTAACTGGCAGCTGTGTGTAACACTTATAATCTTTTCCAGCAGATTCGGACTTTAAATTCAAACTACAAAACTGATTTAAAGAGGTTTTTTCCCATTTTAGTTGCTGGTAATTACAATTTAAACATCTGGCATGATGGCAGCATTAACAAGCAAACACAAAACCGCTGCTTTGTCCATAAACATGATTAATATAATTAGAAATATATTGAGCAGAAAGGTCTGACTGTGAAAGTAAGATTTAATGTGTGTCAATAACAAGGAATGGAAAACTAAAATTTGAAAAAAAGTTTTAATTACAGTTATTTCATCAACTGACAGGTGGTAAAGCTTAATAAATAGCTCGATGCTTTTATTTTAACCAACTGGTTTCAAGGATTCAAGGATTCAAGGACCTTTATTTGTCATGCCAGCTCACATTCACGTTTATGGTACGAAATTAGTACTCAGGTCCCGCTTTTTTAAAGAAAGCCTAATAAATAATAAGTACAATAGAGCAAGAGCAAAATGTAAGTAAAAATACAGCAATACAAGTGTAGTAAAAATATAAACATTAGAGTAGAAAAGCCGTTTGAGGTTCAAACTAGAGAATTGTACTCACAGTTTTCATCATTTACTGAACAATATTATTTGTTGATGTTTCCCTTTCTGATGGTCTTTTACTGTATTTTCTTTCCTCTATAGCTCCACACAAAATATATAACAAATCTCTAAGTGACTGTATGTTTACCTCCTCAGGGTCTTTACCAGTTTCTATGTTCGTCCTCTTCTACCGGTCCTCCTCGCTCCTCCCCTGCTCCAATGAACTACTCAGTGTTTGGAACAGCAGCACCTCCAGCTATCATTCCCGATCAGTCAGACTCTTCCAGGTAGGTTTGTAATGCTCTCTCCACGTTTAGTCACGTTTATAAGGCATCAAATGGCATCATAGGTTTAATCACATTATTATTTGTCAGGCCACAACGTAATAATCTGTCCATATCTTCCCCCCTCAGTGGTCCTCCATCCTACCAGCAGTTTGTTGGTGGAAAAGCCTGTAAGTCGGCGTCTGGCTGCAGTGTGGCCGTTCAGTCACCAGGTGGCGACGGCGTGTTGGCTTACTGTCCAGATGGAGGCCGGAAAGACGTCCGCAACGCTGTGGAGGCTGCAATCAAAGTCCAGCCGGGGTGAGAGCTTTATCGCACAGACATAAACACACAGGCAGTGCAGCAGGATGTCAAAGTCCAGCTATCAAATAACACAAACATTCATCGGGCTTGAAAACTCACTATACGATGTGGGACTTGTTCCAGGAATCTGCTTGAACAAACTTTAAAGCTGAACTCTGAGTTTATTTAAAGATTTTTTTAAAAAGGTTAACTGTATGTGTCTGTCTGTATACCCTGTACGTACATGTCTTTAAATATATTTTCCTAACTGACTTTGGGGGACAAAATATAAATGTTAAAATTCAAAGACGGAATATTTTAGATCAGAATTCTGACTAAGAGTAGAACGTGTTCTGACATCAGTTTTACATTTATTAAAATTTTGCCTTAACAGTGTTAAATGACTATTTTTAATATGTAGAAAATGTAAATATAGTCGCCATAAGATGATACTTATTCATCCCACATTAGAACAGCTGGACCTTTTCACCTCCACTTTAAACATTTGAATATGAAACCTATGAAAACACGTGAGGAATCTTGATATTATTATGAGCCGTTAGTTCAGTATTATTAGTATTTTGTGTGCTATGAGTTTCTAAACATCATGTGTGTAGATTTTTTTAACTTTGAGCCACCACAGCAGGGGAACTGCTCTGACTCTGTCTTAATGTTGTTTGCAGAAAAGACAGAAAATAAGGGCTGTGCATACATTTTTATGAAGGGCTGAGTCAAACTAGTGTGAACAAACCATACAGTTTGACCTCAACCTTCCATGTAAATCATTCTCAGCCTCAGCTGTGTATTCCCATGTTTCTCTTCAGGGCTCCAGACTGTGAACTTTACTGAGAGTGTGTGAGTTGAAATTTCAACAGAACGTGCAAGTGCCTGATGACATTTAAACTGTTTTGGTGTCGCTGTAGCCGGCGCAGGCAGCTACTGTGTTAACCACAGAGGTTGAAAGCAGCACTTTTATACCTGTACTGTGGTATTTACACTTTGAAATGTGGTCTTCTTGGGGTGCTGCTATAGCTCATCTGATTGAGCTGGCGTCCCATGTATAAGGGCTACAGACCCGGATGCAGCGGTCATGGGTTCAAGTCCCGTTCATGACCCTTTGCTGCAGGTCCTTGCCCTATTTTTCTCCTCCCACTTTCCTGTCTCTCTCTTTCTCTCTGTCCTGTCCAATAAAGCCAAAAAAAGGCCGAAAAAATATCTTAAAAAAAAACAAAACAAAAAGAAATGCGGTCTTCTCATGAAATGTGGAGCGCATCTACATTTCCTATGAGCGGAACAGCACATGTAGGTGCGCTCCACATTGTACAGAAAAATCACTCGCCCCAGAACGCCCCAGTTTAACTCTTTCAAAGTATTTACACACCTGTCTGAGCACCACAGCCACCAAGCAGCAGCTACCACAGTCTGCAATGTGGGGCGTTTAGGGAACATCTGTCAATTGTAGCGTCTATCAACAAGCAGAGGTTCAACAAGTGCTGTGTTTTGCCCGTGACAAGGTTGGAGGTGCGACCAAATAAAGTTGTGCTACAGTGAAAAAGTCAGTGTGGAGTCCTGCTCTAGCATTATCAGCTGTTTCACAATGAAGCAAATTACAGTCCAGTGTTGCAGTTCGCTCAAATCGGTTGTTTTAACAAGTACAATCATCGACTAAATGACATATAGTTAAAGCTGTGACTCCCTTTAAATGGTGAGATGTGCAGTTTTTCACAGGTTCAATGTTCTTGGCCAAAGTAAAACATTAAGAGGGGAAGCTTGGCCTCCATGAAACACATTTATTCAGGCTTTCAGACTCTCGTGAGGACATATGTGTGGTTTGTTATTTCACAACCCAGTGGGCTGTGTGTGTTTGACATCAGCCAAAGTTCAGCTTGACTTTGGGAGCTGATAAAAACTTGCTGAGCCAACACAAAGTCCATATTTAAGTGTCAACTGAGTTTAATAACAATTACGTCTCGTATTCAAAAGTCATTCTGTCAGAGAGTACAAAGCATTAAAAGCCCAGTCTGTGGTTTTGATTTTTCTGCAGGACATTAACACGATGAGTTTACAACTATCATTCCCAGATTCTGACAAAGATCATCAACAATAACCTGATAAACACACAGGTATTAACGTGTCAGTAGTGGCTCCAAGGCTTCTTTGTTCATATTTCATTCCTTCCTCTCCTCTAGCTGGATGAAAAAGAGTCCGACTGCACGCGCTCAGTCGCTGTACTCTCTGGCCAAGGGCCTCGAGTCAAAGAAGCAGGACGTCGCGAAATCTGTCGTCATCCAGACCGGTCTGTCGACAGACGAGGCCGACAAGGAGGTGGAACTCAGCGTTGCCAGGCTCAATGTCTGGGCGGCTTATTGTGATAAAATCCAGGGAGGATCTTTGGTGAGGAATTTACTATTTGAAAAAAAAGAAAAATGACAATTTATAGACGACTGTCTGAGCTTAAGTCTTGATTATCTCGTGTGTTTTCCGTCTCCTGCAGCCCATGCCGAGATCAGGCTCTGCTCTGTCCTTCCCTGAAGCCCTGGGAGTCGTGGGCGTCGTCCTACCTGACAAAAACCCTCTCCTCTCCATGGTAACGCTTCTTGGGGCAGCCGTCGCCACGGGCAACGCTGTTGTTATGGTCCCCAGTCAGAAGTACCCGCTGCCGGCCTTGGCCTTCATTCAGGTAATATGACGAGCAGCAAGTCGATTCAGGTCAAAGTCAAAGAAGCTTGAACCAAACGTAAGAGAAAACAAATCAACACTAACTTTGACAGAGAATGAGTTGATAAATGAATTTGTTATTTAGTGGTGTGTTTTCCAACTAAAAAGTAAACTAAATGGTTGTCCAAGTTTCTTCATATGAATAGAAAAATCCAGATTCTAGTGTAACTTGTATTTTTTAGCGTCCATTTTAATATTAAAGATTAAACTCTTAAGCTCTTAGAAGAACTCAAGGACAATAATAAGGACTTTGGTGTCTTTTCCCACCATAGAGACTAAAAGTACCATCAGATTTAAGCGTCACTAATATGTGTGAAGCAATAAGGATCCCTCAGATTAACACATATAACAAACAGAAAGATCATATTTCTGCCATGTTTTCTACTTGGTTTTACAACGACCTCTTTTAGATCGCTTCCTCGTATTTATGTGGAAAATGGCCGGCCGTTTGCAGGTATTTTTTTTGTAAATTCTTCGATTATCTGCTCTAACTTACGATGGAAACCTGACAATATAGACAAGGCCGTACTCCATAGAGAGAAGCACAGCTGACTGTCATGCAGAAAACAAAAAACTGTGTTAAAGTCATGATTTTGCTGAGTTCAGAGGAAGCTGCAACATGTGATCACGTCACCAACTGGCATTAAAGTACCTTTGCCCACCTGCTTATGTACCTGTAAGCACTGATGTTATCTTTATATCGCCTTGTCCTCCTCAGGTGCTCCAGTCTTCAGACCTGCCCGCGGGTCTTGTAAACATCATCTCAGGAGGTCGAGACCAGCTGACTGCCGCTCTTGCTAATCACAGCGTCATCAAAGCCATCTGGTACTGGGGCAGCGCTGAGGTGAGGACTCGCACAAACGCCCAGATTTCATCGATGAACTCGTGTCATCTAATCATCTTGACTCGTGTCCTCTTAGGGCCGCCAGTACCTCCAGCACACCTGCACCAACCCCCTGAAAACCCTGCGCCTGTTTTGCCAAGAGGACGACGGAGGGATGAACTGGACTCGGTCCGAGCCGTCCTTCCTGGAGGAGATCTGGAGAAACGCCGTCCAGTGGAAGAGCGTGTGGATTCCTACTGCATAAGAAACAGGGAGAATAAATAAAAGATGAAGGTGACAGGGAGAGAGAGGAGGGGAGAGCTACAAATATCTACTCTTATAACATCAGTCTGTAGGATGTAGATTAAACGATTGAAAATTAACTGCAACCAGGTCAGACAAGATGGAATCAACAGCAAGGGGTGAGCAGAACGAGGAATGAAAAGCGTATATATATGTTCCAATAGATTTAATGTGGAGATTAGAGCCACGGAGACTCAATGTGGGCAGAATTTTAGGACACAAACAGGTAAAAGTTCATTGCTGTGCCATAAAAATGTGTCAGTGAAGCCTTTAAAAGACAAACCTACAGGGGTTCGTTCCCTCACTGTGATTATAAAATGGCCGGAGCAGGTTAGTCCTCTTATCAAACTCACAAGTGCAATGCAAACACAGAACCACACCTATGAGAGGTAAATCAGCAGATGTGCTACTGAAAACCATATCCGTCTGCTCGTTGAGATAAAAGAACTGTACTTGATTGAATGACTCTTCTATGCATTTTTCTGTTTATGGAATACGATGAAGGACAGCGGTGGCCACACGAGTCACCTGTAGGATCGTTTCATCGCTGGTTCTGGCGTTTTCACATCCTTACCATTAGAAGACTGTCCTTTGGAGCTCGTGTGATGTTTTGTTTGTTTGGCCAAAAACCCCGAAGAATACATCTGGTACATAGACGCTCCATCGCCAATAGCTGCCCCTTCGTATGGTTGGATTCTTGTTTTTTTTGGAAGCTTTTTCTACTAAGACCTGTTGATTTTCTACCTCTGCTTTCTACTATCGTGCTTATTTTTCTTCACACCTCGGCTTGGTCTGTTGCGTATATCTTTACTTTTGGGTCAGGATTTGTTTGGTTCATGCTAAAAAAAAAAAAAATAACAAAAAACTGAGTTGGAAGGATTTTAAACACAAGTCTGTTCAGTCTGCCACCTGAAACCTCGCCTGCCTTAGAGCTTTGCCAATGACTCAGCAAAAACGCATCGACTCAGTCCGAACACACACATCTTCCTGCTCTGTGTGTGTTTGTTGCTGTACAGTAATACTGTAGACACGGGAGGTCTCCTGTTGTCCTGTGGCTCAAACATTCCCAGTGAAATCCAAGTTCACTTTGTCAAATCAGTCATGTTTCCAGATGTGTGTGTGTGTGTGTCGCCAGAGCATGACGCTGTGGGTCTCTCTGTCTAGAAGCCATGATTAAAAGAAGATAATTTAATGAATTGAAGCACTCGTTTGTCGTTTTGTTGCTTTAACAGCGGCGTGGTTCTTGGATTGTCGTGCATTTACTCTCACCTGCTACTTTGTTAGGTCCACATGTGAAATCTAATGCGATCCAATACAGTTTCTAGGGTGAGGGTTTGTTAAGGTGGGCACTAGAAGTTAATTATTTGGTGTGTTAATGGGAATAATTAAACTGTTTGTTTTTTTTTTAAAGAGAACATTTCTGTTTACAGCTTCTTAACCCTTACATACGGTTTTAGGGCCAAATTTGACCCGTTTTGACTTTTAACAGCAGTAAAAACATCCTAAACGTCGTTCTTTTAGCCTGAAATTTGATGACTTTTCCCAAATTGACCCAAAATTCTGAAAGGTCCATTTTATTTCTATAGCTCATTTAAAACCAACCAGGGTTGACCAAAGTGTTTCTTGAGTTTTTGGAAACACAATTTTATAGATCAAGCGACTAATCAATTAATGAAAAATGCAAAAAAACAAGCAATATTCACTATTTGCAGCCATACATTCAACTTTCCTCCACTAGTTGCTAATACACACAGACACCCGCCGACATGCTTTGGTCAGAACATACAGTTTTTAATGAGTCACGTCCAGTTTTGGTTCCTTTTTCCCAACATTCTTGTTCCTTTTCGGTTCCCAAAACTGGTTCCAGCCAGCAGAGCACTGAGGTAAGCTTCCAGTCAGATGTTTCTGCGGTCACAAGTCTCCTCCCTTTGTCTGTGACCAAAACAACAGAGGAAGGAAGGAAGGATGGCCCTGAAGCTGAGGAATGCTGAGTCACAACAGTGACACAGCACAATCCTCCACGAAACACGATGCAGCTCCTGTAGGAGGTTTGCCTAATCGGCGTCACATGACGAAGCAAAAAAAAACAACAGACGGTGAAGGTGATGTCGAAACTGCAGAGTCTTTGAATGTGGGATATAAAGTGAGTTTAGCCGCTTGATGACAAAGTGTTTTTGTTATTTTGTCCCAGGTTTGTGAAACAATAAGAGCATGACACAGCGCTTTCTTAGGGGTTGGATCCGTCACCCTAAATCCCTGCATGTCTTTTATAGAACACTGAGGTAGATGAGCTGGATTTGACCTCCAACAATAACATATTTCATCATGACTAGTTTCAATGGAGGTTACAGACAGAACCTAATTAGAACGTCATCTTTGTTTTTTTACTCTCAAAGCTACTATGGCAATAATAGGACAAAATAATATAAATATGGCACATTTGAAATCCATTTATGTGTGCATAATGTATATTTGACTCCCAGGAAATGACGTCATACTGCTAGAAATATTAATTTAAGAAATAAATCTAGTTTTAGATGAGGTTCCTGTTACACTGTTTGTGCATAAAGAGGTTTTAAACCCAAAGGCTCACATACTACCTCCTTCAAATGCATTAAAGCACCAACTTTGAAATGGCTAATTTATTCAGAGGGAGTTTTTTGGTTACCGATAACACTGAAGCAGTGGGTCAGGATTCCATACGCTCCACTGCAAACCATTAAAAAGAAGATGGACATCCTCCTCTCTCTCCATAAAGGCTTTTCAGCACTGCCTGCAACTCATAGTTCTTCTTCTTTATGCTTCTTTCCCATTATATTTTATTTATTTGTTATTATTTTTGTTTGTTTTGGTGTCACCTACTTTGTAAAGCGTCTTTGAGTATCTTGAAAAAGCGCTATTTAAGTGTTATTATTTTTTAAAAATGACCTTCAGTTACACAAAAAATGGAATTCAGTTTCAACATCTTAAAAACAAGAGTGATGCATTTCTGCAATACAAGTCCCAACGAGAAAATTAAAATGATAGTTTGGGGAACATTAAATGTAATCGTTGCTGAACGAGGTTGAATCACGATGCAGTGATGTCGAGAGCAGAGCGGCACAGACTCTCAAGGGTCGGCGCTTGAAACAAAGGTCGGCTTTACGAGTGGAAAACAAGCGGCTGTCGGTGCTGTTTCAGATTATTTCAGTCTGATAAGGATGGAATTAATGTGGTCTTGTTCTGCCTCATGTAAACTAAAATGTGGATAAGCTAAAAACAGACAGAAATCTTAATGCTTTAACCTCCCTTTAGTGCCACAGATGGTTATTAGTGAATGTATTTACTACTGTAAAACATAAATGTGATTGCAGTATCCTGTAAGTCAGGGATTCTCAACCATGGGGCCGCGAAAAACTTTCAGTTCTGCACCTGTGGGCCGCGAAGGCCGCAGGACCCCCCAGAAACCAGCCGCAATTAATCTGAATTATGTAAAAGTTTTGAAAAAGAAAAAATGAAGATGGAAGTGATGCCACCCCCTCCTCAAAGGCGAAATTTATGCGCAAGTCCAACCCTGACTTTATCAAGTCTGGTTTTGTGAATGTAGGTAGCAAAGCAGAGCCCAGAGCCCAGCGTGTGGGTTAACGCTAGCCAACGAAGCACTGAAGCCTTCAAAGCTATGGTGGCATCTCCAAACCAAACATCCAAAGCTAGTTGGAAAGCCGGTGGATTTTTTCAGGAGAAAAGAAAATGGGCTCCAGCTATCATATCATTTATTTTAGAAGGTTTGTTAAACTGTAAGTGGACTTGGTTTAGTTATTGAAGTCAAATCAAACCAAGACTCGGATCAATTGAAATGAAAGAGTTCATATTTAAATGGGCCACTTTGTACCGGGAAACCTGGGCCTAGGGGTCAAAATGGTTGAGAATCCCTGATGTAAGTGACTCATTAGAATATACTAAACCTCTCTCACTCACACTGAACACATGTTTACAGTCAGTATGAGCTATGTCGGTACCATTTCCTATACTTTTCAATATGTCCATTTTCATAATACACGCTGTGTTTATAATTGTTGTATCCCATCTAACCATTTTCTAACTATTTATCCTATTCACGCTCATAGCCGGGGCCTGTCATGGCATTCACCGGGCACATGAATGTGTATTTACTCACCACATAATAGGTACATAGAGACAGTAGGAATTACACTTCTGGCAGTTTTGTTGCAGTGAGACTCTATAAGTTTATTTTAAAAACGTTGAACGTAAAATTCAAACTGAATAAATTCTCGGTGTGCTGTTTTATCAGTGGTTAGGACCAATCACAAAACAATAGAACTACCAATCCTAATACGTTTACACAGATGGACCCATAATTGGCTGTTTGAGGGCAGAAGCTGGTGCCCTCTATTTAAGACCTATAAGGGATCAGAAGAGATATCATTAGCAAGTCTGAGCAAGCTCTTCTTTGAGGCTGTCAGAAAAAAAAAAGAGTGCTCTCAAGGTTGGCCAGTATTTGGGTTTAAAGTTAGATTTCACAGACAAAACACACAAAAAAATCTAAACTAACATAGAAAGTGAGGACACTGCTGTATCATTCTGCAAATGCATTCTACGTGAGGAGACGGTTAAAGACGGTTAAAGAAGAGGCTTGTTTTATGTCTGCGTTGCGAAATGTCACCAGAAATGAGCGATAACCAGAAGACAAATGGTTTTAACCTGCAGTAGCACCCTGGTACAGACCGGGACCGTCTCCGGTTAGTCAGCAGGGACAGTCGGTCTCGGTAATGTCTCGCAACGCTGCGGTGGTGTTGAGTAATGCAGTAAAAAGCTACCTTGGCTGTAAACACGATATCAGCAGGTCTGGGCCGTCACGTGGTGGAGTTTATGAGGTGAAACGAGTGGAGTTTAACACAGCTGCTGCTGCTTTAGGTTGTCAGACACAAAATGTTCTGCATCTCCATAGATAACAATCAGAAATCCCATTGTTCACGCCTCTGAATTGTATTAGGGGAAACTTTGGAGCAGTATTTGATGTAAGAGATTAAAAAAAAAGTTCCTTTTCGTTGAGAGGCAACGTGTTTTGACGCTTAAACCTGCAAAAAATAAAAGTCATTAATGCACCTATTTTCTCCAGGGTCAACAACTCCGTTCTGTCTGGCTTCAACAAATAATCCCGCTCGCTTCCAACTAGTTCAGAGTTCGCTGCTTGCTAGTTATAACAGATGACGTCACATTCGTCCCAAATTCCTGGCTTTTCTGCATCGTCTCCTTTTTTAGAATTAATTCTTAGGATTTTACGGGCCGCTGCTGTATCAGTGAAATCTCACTTTTAAATCATTAAAATCTTAGACCCAGACTCAGGTGTTTTCAGGGTTACATGGCGGGGTCACATAGCAGAAATGTTGACCCCATACCAACCTCCTCAAAGCTTCAGATCCTAAACCACAGTTGTTCAAAAGTTTAGGCTTGAATATAAAAGTGATTTCACCATGAGGGCCCCTCCGCTTTAAAAAGAACCTGCCTGAATTAGTGACTCCTTTAAAACCCCATTTTTATACACCTTTTTAAATTTAAAGTTGCCTTTTTACGTCATATTAATTGCTTTTATTACTTTATTTGTATTCATTATTATTGACATATTGTATTTTTTGTTTTTCACTTTATTATACCTCGCTTTACCTCCCAATGCTATTTTGTCCTCTAGGGATCCTTCTTTTGCTTTTCCTATCAAAGCATTTTAAGACTAAGTTATATATAAATTATTATTTTTTAAAGTGGCCTCATGCATTAGGTGTAATCCCAACTACAATACATCAAATTAATTTCTGCAGCCTAAATCTGTGAAGAGTATCCAAAGTGTGGAAAAGTGCACAGTCATCTCACATGGATGACTTGCTGTCAGCAGATCACTGCAGATCACTAAAACTGTGGAACTTTCTTTCAATCACATGAGTAACACAAAAAAAAACATGCAGGTTCATGTCCTCGGCTTCGGCTACGTCATTGCTCCCTGAGCGCTCTGATTGGCCGAAACGCGCTGCGTGTCACGTGGTCTGCGGCGGCGTATAAATACAGGAAGCGCCTCGTCTTCCATTTCACACCAGGGGAGAGACCTTTGAGGAGTTCTTGCTTCAACAGTGTTTGAACGGAACTTCTTCCTTTCGTCCCGCTCGCTGCTTCTCAACTCGTCTGCATTCCGGACACGAAGAAACCTTCTTTACTTGAACACTACCGAAAAAAAAAAAAAAAGTCGACGTAAAGCTCTATTTTTTTTTTTGTACCGTTTTGTTAAGAAAAAGCACAAGAAACGCCAGCCAAGATGGAGTCCCAAGTGCGTCAGAACTACCACCGCGACTGCGAGGCCGCCATCAACCGGATGGTCAACATGGAGATGTTTGCTTCCTACACCTACACCTCTATGGTAAGAAAATACAGTTTGTAGTCTTAGATATGGATTTAAACGTGCTGTGTGCCTAATAGAGTATTATACACGTGTTCTAGTTTGTTGACAGGAGACTGAATATTGAATGCAATTGCTAAAAAAATGCACATATTCTGTGTATTGCTGCCTAATGCAGGGTTTCAGTAGCTTGTTATCTTGGTTGTTTACCACTGGTGGGCAGTTGGCCAGATAAGGAGTGTCTTACTCCCACTCAGTGAACTGAAAACGCTGTGTCATGCTTGGGTTGTCGTTTCTTCAGCACTTGTTTGTGCCTGAACCCACTATACTTTAAACCGTGACTCATGTGCCTCACACTGCCAATGACACACTGTTTTTAGCCAAATAATGATGGGTGATATGTCCTAATAACCACCTTTTTTTTCCCCTTCCTTCCTTCCCTTCAGGCCTTCTACTTCTCCCGTGATGATGTGGCCCTCCCAGGCTTCTCCCATTTCTTCAAGGAGAACAGCGATGAGGAGCGGGAGCACGCTGAGAAGCTGCTGTCCTTCCAGAACAAGAGAGGAGGACGCATCTTCCTCCAGGACGTCAAGGTCAGTACATGCAGACGAGGTCCTGTTGGGACTTGCTTCATCACAGCCGGTCTGTCTGCTGCAGATGAACTGGGATTAAGTGCAGTGTGTTGGGACTCCCATTTGGTGTCAAAACATGAGCAAGAACCTGTACACAAGGTTTAGTTCAATGAGCGTTCAGTCGACACTAATTAAATGTTTTTGTTTCTTGTGCAGAAACCAGAGCGTGATGAGTGGGGCAGTGGGCTGGAGGCCATGCAGTGTGCCCTGCAGCTGGAGAAGAACGTGAACCAGGCTCTGCTGGACCTGCACAAATTGGCTTCTGAGCACACAGACCCTCATGTAAGTGGTTTTAGGAGGGAGGAGGGCAATGGGATTGAAATGAATGCCAACCTCAGTTTTATTTAATTCTGTTTTGGTATTTACCAAACTAACAAGTGTTCTCTCTTCATGCCTTCAGCTGTGCGACTTCCTGGAGAGCCATTACCTGAACGAGCAGGTGGAGGCCATCAAGAAGCTGGGCGACTACATCACCAACCTCACCCGCATGGACGCCCACAACAACAAGATGGCAGAGTACCTGTTTGACAAGCACACCCTGGGGGGCAAGAGCTAAACGCAAAGACCCAGGAGTGGGCCTGCTGTGAAAATCTTAACAAGCAGGGTTTGAAATAAACACCTTTCTGCTCCAGCTGTTCACACACTGAGCATGATTTCACATCTAATTTACTTTTTGGTGGTGTTTTTCTGTAAATGTCAAACGGAAAGATGGATGCTCTTTAGATTGTGGCGTTGCCCGTCAGTCTCTTCGGGTGTTTTTGTGGAAGTTTCTGATCTGTTTCTAATCTGAATAAACATTTTGAGCTGGATTCTGGTGTCTGTCTGCATCTATCACAACCTGTTTTATATTAGAAACTTGGTATGTTTACATGCTGAGTCATGAATCCAAATACATTCCAAGGTATGGGCACAGGAGTCTCACTGCGTCACTTACTCTTACGTGGAGCTTGTGTAAAGCTACAGTAAACGGGTAAAATTACCTAAATCTAAATGCAGTTTTTGGTTGGTGGTTATGGTTTGATTATCAAAGTGAATATTATGTGTAAAGTAGCTTGAGATAAAAACTTAAGTCCACTGTGCAACTGACAAACGATAACACGGTACAAAGTAGAATGTATATTTTGGACATTTTCTACAAAGCTTAATTTCTGGGATGTTCTGTTATGCACTAAGGCCACCTGCTGGAGAAGTTCAGTACTGCAGCTTCAAAGCTGCTGTTCAGGAGACCTTTCGGAGGGTTCATCCATCTTTATATGCAGTCAGTGGCTGAAAATTACAAGTCCAGGGGAGCTGCATGTTCAGGTGCAAATTTTCCTCAGGTTCACTACTTTAAGTAACAGCTTTCACACGTCATTTAATAGATTATTGTCGAGAAGCTATCATTTATAGATGTTTTAACTGAATTCAGACATCACTTAGAGCACTTGAAAGACTTACTGGACACAGACTATAAATAGCAGCAGAGGTACAGAATACATCTTTATTGTCATTTGCAACAAAATTGGTTGATAAAGGTTCAGAAAGTGAGCGACTTTGTGTCTGTGAAGGTTCTCAGTCATCCAGGTCATGGTTGTTCTCGTAGATTAATGGCAGCAACTGGACTTGCTTGAGTTCCTTGAAGACGTTCCACCTCTCATCCAAGAGGCTTCATCAGTTCTGACTGACTAGTTGGGAGTTCCAGATACTTATATCTGGAGCCATTAACACCTGAGTTTCAATTGGGGGTTTGTTCCTCCTCCCCTTCGTTATGTGAGTCGTTAGTGCTCCCCGTGCCACATTGGGGTTCGTTAGGGTCTTCTGTGGCTAGGTGTGAATGTGGTTTCATCTTCCTGAGGAGAGATCTTAGGACTGAATAGTAAACAGGTGAGAGGTGATGCCTCAGACCTCCACCTCTATTGAGGGACGGTCTTTCCAGTTTGACGTAGATGGCTTCTTTCAAAACGTGTACATTTCTGTCCTCTAAGGATTGTCCCTTATCCATCAGATGTGTTGAGCCATGTGCTAGTGAAGCTGTTGTTTAGTCTCTCCTGGTCTGTGCACTCCATTGGACTGCATGTACAACATTACTCTGCTTGTGTTTTATCTTTGGGGTGAACCAGTTTTTGTACCAGTATGTTGTGTTTGGAGAGAGTTTTCCAGATACTCCAGCTAGTTTGTAGTGGTTCTGTGTTTTCTAGATCTTTTTGCTGATTTGATGAAGGCCCAGTTGGGAGGTAGCCACAGCTCCTCGGTGCTTTCCTAACGTGAGTCTGCTCCTTCTCCTTTTCCTTTAGGATTTGAACACCAGATATTGATCTCTGTGTGTAGGTTTAATGTTGAGGCTTCTATTTGCCTCAACATGCACAGCGCAGTCCAAAAGAGGCAGCTGCTTATCCTTTACATCTTCCCCCTTGTGAACTTGCTGTCCATAGAGTTGATGAGCTCCTTTACACCTTCTCCAATGCAAGATCCCTTCATGAACCTGTTGAATACT